AATGCCAAACGAAGCTAGCATATTATCATATTTGGGTGACAATCATCTTATTTGAGTTATATCACCTCTCTACCACATCACTTTAAATCCAATTCATATTACATATCTTTTTATAAAAAATTAAAAAAAATATATTTACTTAAATCATCTCAAACACTCATATTTTTTTTAAAAAAAATTACTTTGTAGCTCAAAAAATTTGAGGTTCGAGTAGCCCGAAATTCAAAACAATGTCATTTTGGCCTTTTTTCCCCCTCTATTTTCTCTTTGAAATAGAGAGGCCAAAGAAGAAAGAGAGGGGGAACAGAGAGAAAAAAGAGAAAGAGAGAAGAAGAAGAAAAGAAGAGAGGGTCTGTATGTGTATACACAGATCTGTGTATACACACAGAATGACGGTGATGGCGATGGGCTGTGTATACACACAGATCTATGTGAATATACACATAGAGCGACGGTGATGGCGATGGACTATGGTGATGGCGGCGTTGGTTTCTTCTCTGTTCATTAATCTGCCAATCTTCCTTCTTTCTTCTTCATTCTCTCCTTTTTCCTTTGTTCTTCTCTTTTCTCCTTTCTATTTCTTTTCTTCTTCGTTCTTCATCTTTTTCCTCCTCTGTTCTTTTCCTCTGGTTTTTTTTTCTTTCTTCTTTCTGTTTCTTCCTTGTCTCTTTTGAGTTATGGAACCTGTGAGTTATGGAAAGGAAGAAGAAAAGAAAGAGAAAAAAAAAAGATACCATTCGAGTCTTAATGAATTCGAGCTACTTAATTAGTGAGATTGTATTTTTTAAACCTGTGAGTGTAATTACCCTAATTTTAATTTAGGCAATATGTTTCATTCTTTTGAAGGAAATGTCAAAGAGAATTACAAAAATTAAAAATGTTAGAGATTTTAAAATTTTTATTAAAAATTATGTTTAATATCTTATATGGGTGTAGAATCCCCATAGAATTTATGTTGTATGAATCTTATATTTATATAAGATATTTGATAAAAATTTTAATAAATTTTTTAAAATTCTTAACATTACACTTTTTACTAAAATATTAAAAAGGAGAATTAAACTATTTAATGAGGCTTGCTTTGGAAGGAACACTTTGATGACCGTGGCTTTGGAAGGAACCCAAAAAGCCACGTATGGGGTCCCCAGCTAGGGGTGAGCATGGTCCGGATTGGACCGGATTGGGACAAAACCAGAACCAATCCGTTATCTACGGTTCCTGAAAAATCGGAACCAATCCGATCCGTTTAAATCTTGGAACCAATCCGAACCAATCCATTTCAACACGGATTGGATCGGTTTAGGACCACGGATTCACATAATTAAATAACAAAAAAATATATATAACACT